TGCTGGGTAGCATAGAAACTTATTTACCACAGGGCACAAGTAGGCTGGACTGGCCCAGGAATGATGCCAGGTGAGTGTTGCTGGGCCTCCCACACGTTCATCAGCTGGCTAATGTGCCAGGGAAAAAAAAAGCAAAATAATACCGAGACGGAAGGCCCTTCTCTGCTATGGCCTCGCAAAGAACCAGCAGCGATTTCTACTGGCAAAGTCTAACCTTCAACTAGCCAGCAAAGGAGAAATGCTTCCAGTATTCAGCTCCAGTATTACAAAGTAAGGCAAAGAAGGGTGGATTCAGAGCAACTGAACAAAAAATGATCACTGTATACTGATTTTCTCTACTGCTTACTGTCTCTCATTGACTTCAATCCTTCTCTTTATTATTTCTTGTCTTTTACTTATTATTGGTTTATAATTTGTTCTTTTTTCTGCATTTAAGGTAGAAACTTAGTTCTTTTTTTTTTCCTCAAAGCATTTTTATTAGCATACATTAGTTGTACATGGGGGGATTCATTGTGACATTTCTGAATATGATTACATTGTTCACTGGATAGGCCGGCCTCTGCCATCTCTCTCCCTCACTTCCCCACCTACTTAAAACAACTGCAAAAGATTTCATTGTTCTGTTTCCTATGTGCATATAAAGTACATGGACCATATTCACCCTCTTTTATCCTCTCCATTCATCCTCCCCCCAACAAGTACCCAAGGAGGAAACTTAGTTCTTTGACTCCTTCTTTTCTAACATAATGCTGAAAGTTATTAATTTTCCTGTTTCTACTGTTTGACATGAATCCCTTTTGGTATACTGCATTTGCATTATCATTCAGTTTAAATATTTGCTATTCTCTTGCTATTCATTTTTAGTTTAATTCTATTGAAGTCAGAGAATATAACTGGTAAGGTCTTTTGAAATTAATGAATACCTATTTAATGCATAAGTATAGTCTATCTTGCTGAATATTTCTTGTGCAATAGAAATGTGTGCTCTGTTCTTGGCTATATTGCTCTACAAATACCAGTTACATAAAATTGAGTGATAGTGTTATTCATATCATTTTATCTTCATTAATTTTTGTATGTTCTACCATAATATGGTAGAAGAAACATTCCTACATTCTATGAAAAGATAGAAGTTGCAAGGTTGCTTAAGACCTGAGATTTGGAACATGTAACAATGTCTTTTTAAAAATTTTATTTTATCATTTTTACATTTATTTACATGTGTATACATTACTTGGACCATCTTCCCCCCCAATCCCCCGCCCCAGCACAGCAGGTTCTGCCCTTTTGTTCTTCAATTTTGAAGAGAAAACATAAGAGATAATAAGAAGAACATAGCGATTTTGCTAGATTGAGCTAAAGATTAGCTACATAGAGATATTCCTAGTGCTGCTTCCATGCACATGTGTATTACAACCCACATTGGTTCATCTCTACCAGACCTCTTCACCACTGAAGTCCCTTCCCATAGTGGCCTTTGCCAGTTTAAGATTACTATATTCACTTCTGTGATAGAGAAGTTTTGGAGACACCAACTTAGATAAAACTTGGATGGCATTATAATTATAGGTGTTACATAAATTACTATTATACATTTAAATCTCACATCTTCCTCATTTGGTTGTAGACTGGTACAATACCAAGACCATGCACATCTAGGCCCTGCAGAAACTTCTAATAAAGAGTTTCAATTATTCATTTTAGAGAATAGGTACATTATGAACATATACTTAATTTTTAAAAAAGCACTCTCATTATATCCAAGAAACAGATATGCGGCGAAGACTTCAGTCTAACACTCTCCCAACTGAGCTATTTCAGAAGGGTTGGCGAAAGAATAGGGAAAGGGAAGGAGACCTAAAACTTGAATGTGGTTGATATGCACAATGTCTTCTTTGATACTTGTTCAAAATAAGTTATAGGGGCAACCCAGATTTAAGGGGATAGGGAAATAAGCTTTCCATTTTGATGGAAAGGGGCAGCAAAATATTGTGGATTAAATACGCCTCAACTCAGACACCTACCTGGCTGCTTCTCTTCATGCTTGCTCAGCACAGTAACTCTAGCATTCTGAACCTTGCCTTGTACACAATAGAGATTCCATCCATGTGTACTGCATGAATTCTATAGAGCATGTACCATGAAGTAATAAAGCCAAATCCAAAACAACTCAAAAAGCATTAATGTAAATTTTACTGTTGTAACAGTCATGGTTTTATATGTTCTTTTACTTCTTGTGTGGTTTTCCAACGAAATATTTTATTATGCTTCGATGTGCTCATTTATATTTGCCAATGCCAAAACAGCTCAGTTGGGAGAGCGTTAGGTTGAAGTCTTCACCACATGTCTGTTTCTTGGATATAATGAGAGTGCTTTTTTAAAAAAAATTAAGTATATATCCATAATGTACCTATTCTCTAAAATGAGTAACTGAAACTCTTTATTAGAAGTTTCTGCAGGGCCTAGAATGTGCATGGTCTCGGTAGTATACCAGTCTAAAACCAAATGAGGAAGATGTGAGATTTAAATGTATAATAATAATTTATGTAACACCTATAATTATAATGCCATCCAAGTTTTGTCTAAGCTGGTGTCTCCAAAACTTCTTTATCATTTACTTCTTCAGGATTCCATAAAAAGAAGAGGTTAAAATAAAAAGTCATTGTGTCAGTCCATATTAAGTCTGAGTTTAAGAAAAAAATGAAGTAGAAAACAGATCTGAAGTTTATTGGACATACGTGTGTGCATTTGTGTGCATACAAACACTGTGACCCTTTCCTAAATCTACTTAACATAAGCAGAATAAAATGCATGAATCTACAAAAGGAAAATGAATACTGAAGCCACTATCAACTATCCAAATGAACCAAAGGCACTGTTCTCAGGTCTAAACCAGTTTTATTTACAATGTGGCAAACAGGATTAATTCCGTATTAAAATTTTCACTATGTACTACACTAGAATAATAAATCCAGACATACTAAGTGAGTCAGCTAGTTACTGACATAAGAATCCTCTCCCTCAGAGAAACTGGATGTGAGATGGGAAAGAGAAGAGACCTGCTTTTAATTGTATATTTTTGTAGTCATTAACATAAATATATATATGTAGTACCTCAAAACAAGTAAGAATTAAAACATTAATTAAGTAAAAAAGAAATGAATTTTCTCAATGCCTCTAGACATATGAAATAAATACAAAAAGAAATTTTCACAAATGGCATTTTATATAGACTACTGCTGAAGGAAAAATAATAAAATAAGAAATGTTTTATGTGCTCGTGTGTGTTCTTGTATCTGTATTTTATGGTTCATGTTAAAACCCATGCCTTTCTCCAAACTGACAAGAGAGAACACAATCTAAATACCTAAGATAGTTTAATCCAATAATATGCTATTGGAGGCAGAAGAAAAGACTCGTTAGTTTGACAAAAGTTTGTTCAGAAACAAGTAAATAAAAACTGATATTTTAGCTGGGTGCTGGTGGTTCATACCTATAATCCTAACTACTCAGGAGGCAGAGATAAGGAGGATCATGATTCAAAGCCAGTCTGGGCAAAAATAATTTATGAGGCCCTATCTCAAAAATACCCAACACCAAAAAAGGGCTGGTGGAGTGACTCAAGTGGTAGAACACCTGCCTAGCAAGCATGAGGCCCTGAGTTCAACCCCCCCCCTCCACCAAACAACAACAAAAACCAACTCAAATCTGAGGAGTCATTCTACTTACATGAAATGAATTTTGAGACAGGGTCAAAGCAATTACCCCACTCACTTTTATACTCATGAGTTATTGATAAACTATTACCATAATTTCTGACATGGTCTCTTGTCAGAACTCTTTCATATACCTAGGTTAAACTGGAACTTTATAAAGTTATAGTAGTGAACATTCTTTAATGAATGATAAAATTTCACTAGTTAGGACTGTTAAATTAGCCAAATCCTGAACATTAAATGATTCTTTCATACTAACAAAAAGGAAGGACTAGATAATACTGATTTGGTTCCCACCATTGGAGATCTTCTCATTCAGGGAAAGGAGTGGTTCTCTTTTGCATTAGAAACAGAAACATTGCTTTTATAACAAAAATGCAGTGAATCAAATAGCTGCAAAAAAGCAGATACACAATTAGGAGTTCTAATGGTAGTAAACAGGAAGGGAAGAGTATAAAAAGGACATGCAGGAAAATCACTTTCTGGTCTGAGCACTTGCATGAGTTAATTGTTTGATCTTGGGCAATTCATTTAATCTAATTTTTTCCAGTTGAAAAAAAGGTGGGAATAAAACTAGGAGATTCTTAAGTTCTACTGAGTTAAAAACAACCAATACTAAATTTTGTATTATTGGTAAATGTCAATGGTTATAATTCTTTGACCTAGAAAGTTCTGTTCAAGCACAAACAACCACATATGAGCAAAGTTATATAAATGTAGACAAGAATGTTCACTGGCATCATTTGTATTAGTAGGTGGCTGGTGGAAAAAATAACTAAATGCCAGGAGAAAGCTAAAGACATCATAGCATACTTACACAATGCAATTCTATGGAGCCATTTAAAAGACTGAGAAAGTGACAGTAACAATCTCTAAAACAAATGGTTATGTGAATACAGCATGGCACAGAATGGGGGTAGAAAGTGTTCTCATTTTGATTGTTTAAAAGGGAACAATTAACAGACAAACACATGGGGATATACACACACTTTCTTGTTTATATAAAGAATATTTCTGAATGGATACATAAAAAACTGGTAAGTATTTACTGCTTCTGGGAGGGGAACTAGCAGTTAAAGATAGAAGACAGATTTAACTTTTCATTGTAAACTTTTCCAAAGTCTGATTTTACCGTGTGTAACTTTTTTATTAAAGAAAAACACCACAAAGTTTTCCTTTAAAAACACATATATTCCCTACACTTTGTCCAAAAAAGCCTTATTTACAAAATATGTTATCTTCTTTGCAAAGATGATTATTTTACGTGAATATTTTTCAAATTACCTTGAAAAGCCTGGGAAACACATCAGCTGGTTGTCCACGAATCACAAACAGACGAGAATTTAATTTTCGTAGATTGGCATCAAGGTCCTCAAGACATTGAAGCAAAAATCTAGAAAGAAGAAAATATTGAAATTCTTAAAAATAAATATTTAGAAAGGTACAAAGTACTGCAAAATCAGGTTAGTCTAGAAGTTGAAATACCAACTTATACTTACCATCTTATTACGACTCCTTTATTAGATATATAAATTAGTATTCCCAGAACCTATAGTTATAATTTAAAAAATTACAGAACAAGTTTCCCAATATTTTGATGTTTTAAACCACTAATTTTCATTAAGGTGACATAGTAAAAATTTAATTCATGAACATAAATATAAAAATTTTTAAATTAAGTACAAAATATAAAAGTAATTAAATGAATTTATTATTTACTTTTCTTATAAGAAAGGCCACCTTTGAAAATCTTGTAAAGATTTATTACTTGGGAAAAAATGGAAGATTCTATTTAATGACTCTGGGCAAGTGAGTAACTTCAGAATGAGTATTTTACTAGATGATACAGCAATTATCTATGAGTAATCATAATGCCTATTTTCCACACTGGAATTTGAACTCAGGGCCTCATACTTGCTAGGCAGGAGCTCTAACACTTGAGCCGCTTCACGAGCCATAATGCCCATTTTCAAGCTTCTAATAGATCTAAAGAAAAAGATTAATATTAAATCAATTGCTTAAGTTATGTGGTATTAACTCTTGGCTATAGAGGGGTTTCATGGGGCAGGTGGAAGCACAGACTTTTTCAGGGAAGTGAGCACTAACAAGGTGGGAAAATTCTGGGGCAGTAAGGAAAGGCTGCTTATTGTGTATCTTCTATTGTGAGGAAACAGAGTATTTCCCAAGAATAAATCCAAAAGAGATGCCAACTCTAGAAGGCTAAACCTCTTGTTTGACTCATGTTAATTTTCATCTAGATTCTGTTTTTCTCAGCTGGACATATTTTATTTCCTCCCTACTTTGCTTCTTTTATGTCCTTAATCTTAAGATTAAATGTTTGTCTGCCTTTTCCACAGACACATCCTCACTGAAAAGAGTTGTTATGTCTTATTTGTGAGGAGGAATGATTGAGAGACAAGGAAAGACATATTCCAGAAATGCACTGTCTAACATGATAACCAAAAGCCACATGTAGCCACTTAAATTCCAATTAATTAAATTTAAAATTTTAGTTCCTCAGTCACGCTAGCCACAGTGCGAGTGCTCAATGGTCATATTATGGCAAGCAGCTACCATTCTGTACTACACAGATGGAGAACATTTCTATCACTGCAGAAAAGTCTACTGTACCATATTGTTCTGGAAGTTTTTGAGTCTAGATCATCTTGTTCTCTTTGTGCATTCTGATCCCATCATTTCACTACAAATGTCTTGTTGATTTTTTCACAACCATAATTATTAGTAACCTAAGTATACTGGTCAGGTCTGACATTTTCCTCCCTCTGTAGCTTGGAAAGTTATAGTGCTATACTATTCATGAGGATATAATTCCATTATTTCACCTTAGGAAGTCTCATGGAATTGTAGTTAAACAATCCTTTTTGTTCTCACATTTATTTTTCATCATATCCCTTTCTGTCTTGGACTGGAGTCACCTCTTTAACACCTGATCCCCACCCCAACTTACCACTTCTAATGTGCACATATTTCTGGAAGACTGTGTTATTAGAGGTATAGGCATCTGAGTTTCATAAAATGATCCACAACTATGAACAACTTATCATGTTAGATGACAAATATATATTGGATAGCATCTAATTTTATGTATTTGTTTAGTAAGAGGTTTTTTTTTGGATAGAACAAAGATTAAAGAGTTTACAGATACAAAAAATTAAGAAGTTGAATGAACTCATTTGCTTAAATAGAAACAGTACAAAACTAAAATGTCCTGGAGAGGTAATACAAATTTTTGTTGTACCATTAATTTCATCTTTCCTCTAGAGCTTGCACTATGTAGCCAGAGTTCTTCATATTGAGCTTGGTGTCAGTGGCTTATGCCTGTAATCCTACCAACTTGGGAGGCTGAAATCGAGAGGATCATACTTTGAGGCCAGTCTAGACAAATATTTCATGAGATCCTTCTTCAAAATAATCAGAGCAACATGAACTTGAGATATGGCTCAATAGGTAGAGGGCCTGCTTTGCAAGCATGAAGTCCTGAGTTCAAATCTCAGTCCCATAAAAATGGGGGGAAGGTCCCTCAGATTGAACTTTATGGTAGAAATCTTTCTATGTGGGCAAAGAAAAATATCAAAAGAACACAATTATTTCATAAAATGGAGAACTGAGTCTTGATTAACTAATAATTGGCTTGTTGCTTTCCCTCTCGTCTTCACAGGCTAACTGAGAATTCTTAATGCTTTTCAATAAGCACTCTATGAGCCAATGATATAGACTGAAGTATTACAATAGGAAAAGTTCTGCAACCGAATAATTCTTTCTTGTTTTGACATTTCACAAAACAATGAATAGAGGCTGTATTTAAGTATGGTGTTTTTCTTCCAATAGACATTGTTGAGAGAGGTTTCCTTCCATACTGATGTTTTTCATCCATAGATGTTACAATTTACATCTCTGATTTCACAAAAAATTACAGAGCACAGTGGACTCAAGTATAGATACATAAAGAAGTAGGTACTTCATACTCAAATTAGTTTACATAGAAAATATCCACAAGAGAAAAAGAGAAGGATGAGTGGAACACATGGCAGTGCTTGTCCTTTGTTACAAGACTGATATGAATTAAAACTATATTTATTTCTTTGATTAAATAAAATCTATATTGCATGTACTTATGTTTATATGTGTATAAGAGAAAAACTAGATGAACACTTACCAAGCTATTAATAATATCTACCCTTGGGGAGTGGGAGTTTTGGAAAAGGACAAAAAATATGTATTTTATTTAACTTCATAAAAAGTTTAAAATTGATAATCAGTATATAATTCTTTCACAGTAGAAAAAAATGAGATATATTCTAGCTACTGAGAGCCTAGTTTAATAATGTCGAACATCTTTTCAAAGTAACAGACATAAGTATAGGTGTTTCATAATTTAACAAATACAGCAACAAGTATTATCCTCTGATTAAGCCTGAAAAGTCTGATCTAATTTCCTCATCTATAAAATTGGGATAATAATAGGACCCATCTGATAGAATTTTTTGTGAGAATTGAATAAATTAACATATGTGAAGTTCTTAGAATAGTGTCTGCCTATATTAGGCACTAGTATGTGTTATTTATTATTTTTTAGTCTCTTCCTTCCTATCGACTTCTATTCTTGCTACAGTAATTCTAGTTCTTATCTCCTACTTGTATTATTTATTGCAATGCCTTAAAATAGCTCTGCCTCCTAACAATCTCTATCCACTACAATCCATTTTAGTACATAATACTCAAACTTTATTGGGCACACTTTCCTGTACAAAGGTCTTTGAGACTCATTCTTTATACAATAAAGCACAAATTATTTTCTTGGCCACTTTGTCATGGTTCCAAGCTTATTTTTTTTTTTACCCCATCCTCTTTCCCTCCCACCAAATCAAACTACTTCTCTTTTCTCTAAACATTTAATCTCCTGGAATTTGTTCCTCCTCTATCCTCAGCCTAGAATCCCTTTGTAAATTCCCATCTCTTCAAGTTCATACCTTACTAAGTAAGTCTTAAGTCTTACAGGTGAAAGTGATTTCTCTATCTTTTGATCTGTCAAAGAACATAATGTATCCACTACAAAGAAACTCTCAAATTGTACCTCATATCATACCTATCATTCACACAAGCACACACATCATCTCCTTCTGATGGATAAATTAAGTATCTGTGTCTGATTCCTAATCACACACTTTTTAAACCTATGCTTTGGTTTCTATATTTGGTGAACAAATTTTATCATGTACCTTGCTCAATTTACTGAAAAAATTAGAAATATGATAAAATGATCTATATAACTGTTAAAAGGATCAGAAACAGCATAAAACCAACTAGAATCACTAGCACTTGACAAATATTCATTAGACAGAAGGTGTCATTATTTTCTCTTAAGAATAATTTCTAAACTGGTGCACATTTGTTAATCCCAGCACTCAGGTGGCTGAGGCAGGAGGACTGCAAATTTAAGGCCAGTGTGAGCTACATAGCAAGACCCTGTCTCAAAAAAAGGAAGGAAAGAAGGGAGGGAGGGAAGAAGAGAAAAAGATAATTTATATTTTTGAAAAAACCCAATGTATTTCTACATGTAAATACATGTGCATGACAGTAGAAAACAATGAATTAGTTGGATTCCTTGACCTATACAGAATCACTGTCAATGTGTAACTTCATCTGAATGTGACTCTGATCAAGGTTTGACCTTCCCTGGAGATAAGGCCAATGTTAGTACATACATTTATAAAAAAAAAAAAAAGGCACAGTGCAATTAAGACTCTGAATCAACTAATCTCTAAGCATATAATCCTTGGTAGTACTATTTAAAAAAAAAACTTCAAGAACCCAAGTTCAAAGTATCAACTCATTGATAGGTGCAATTTCTTTTTTAGCACGAAATGAAAAATGTTACTTAAAAACCATGCAAAATCTAACCCTTCATTCTTTATCCTCAATTGGGAAGAGAGAACTCTGAGTTCACATTCCACATGTTCCAGAGAACACAACAATTTCAATCTTTAAATACAAATACATGGGCCTTAGAACATCTGATATTGAATGAACCAATTTGGCATACATGGTATACTATTTTCTTGAATTACAGCATTTGAAGGCTCAGCAAATAATGCAAAAGATTGGCTTTGAAATAGGCCAAATGATACCAAAACTCACAATAAACCTTCACATAATTGTATTGTCCACAGAGAAGCAGAGTTTTCATATTATTTAATTATAATACTGAATGCACCGCTTCAAAATGAAGAGGTGTTAGGTAAGAAAATGTTTCTTCACTCTAAATATTTTAAGGACTTTTTCCTTCAGAAATCACTACCAACTGCTATTATAAAAAAAAAATCACATGAAATAAGCTTCCCTATACCACTTCCAAAAGATGATTTCAACATG